CAGGCTGGCCTCGAACTCACAGAGATCCGCCTGCCTCTGCCTCCCGAGTGCTGGGATTAAAGGCGTGCGCCACCACCGCCCGGCGGCATTTTCTTATTTAGTGACCAATGGGGGAGGACCCAGCCCATGGTAGGTGGGGCTCTATCCCTGGGCTCTTGGTCCTGGGTTCTATGAGAAGGTAGGCTGAGCAAACCATGGGAAGCCAGGCAGTAAACAGCTCCCCTCCATGACCTCTGCATCAGCTCCTGTCTCCAGGATCTGCCCTAGTTGAGTTCCTGTCCTGACTTCCTTTAGTGATGAACAGCAACGCTGAAGTATAAGCCTAATAAACTCTTTTCTTCACAATTTGCTTTTTGGTTATGGTGTTTGGCCGAAGCAATAGAAACCCTAACTAAGACAGGGCTAGACTGGGTAGGTAGCATAGGAAGACCCATCTTCAAAACAAAACAAAATACAACAACAAAAACCCTATTGTTCCAGCCCTTGGGAGTTAGAGGACTGAGGATCAGTTCAAGGTCATCCTCAGGAATATAGGGTGTTCAAGGCCAACCTGAACTATATAGGACCCTGTGTTCAAAAAGCAAAAATAACTGTTGTTCCTGTGTAAGAAAACTAAGGCTCAAGCTTGAGGCTGGAAGATTGCCATGAATTTGAAGGCAGCCTAGGCTACATTGTTCCAGGCCAGCCTGGGTTACAAAGTAAGAACTTGTCTGAAATTTTTGTATTAAAGAGGGAAAGGAAAGATAGAGAGGAGAGACTGACATGCAGAAATCAAGTAGGGACATTAGGACTGAGGTTCAAACCAAGATTCTCTTTTGTGCCTGTTCTGTTTATTACATCACAGTTGCTTCTTCTCAAATCAATGTCCGAGAGTTGAATATAGGAAACTTTGATCCTTGAAAAATGTGGACCTATTTATTATTTAAAATTCTGCGTGTAAGGGCCAAGGGACTGCAGCATTTATATCTCTACTTTAAAAAGAAGGGAGCCACAGAAAAGCCCTAGTAATTTAGAAAATTGGTGTCCTTGATTTTGTCTCTGAGCTCATGCCAAATGTGACCTGTCTTGGTTTGCTTTTTATTGGTGCCATAAGTCTCCATGACCAAAAGCACCTTGGATGAAGGGGTCTATTTGGCTTATCAGGGAAAGCCAAGGCAGGAACTGAAGCAGATACCATGCAGGACTGGTCTACCAAATTGCTCCCCCTGGCTTGCTCAAGTCTACTTTTCCCACACAAGCCAGGACCATCTGCGGAGGGATGGCATTTCCCATAATGGGCTGGGTCCTCCCACATCAGTCACTAATCAAGACAATAACTCACAGACTTGCCCACAGGCCAATCTGATGGAAGCATTTCCTCAGTTGAGGTTCCCTCTTCCAGATGATTTTAGGTTATGCCAAGTTAACAAAGCAAACAAACAAACAAAAAACAACAAAATAAAAACACAGCTAACCAACACAGTCATAAAATTCAAACTTGAATGTTGTCTTTTTGCCTTTATATAGATGTGGGTCCAACACACCATTTATTTTCACTGACTAGGTAGGAAAAGGGTCCAGGTAATCAATAGCAGTGTTGAGTGAGCCTGGTTCTTGGGCACTGGTACTGTGTTGAACATTTACCCTTCAAGAGATGCTGCAGATTGACAGGCTTCCTTTCCTATATTTAAGGAGCCATCTTTTGAGACAAGGTTTCTCTCTGAGGCTTTGGAGCCTGTCCTGGACCTCGCTCTGCAGACCAGGCTGGCCTTGAACTCACAGAGATCCACCTGGCTCTGCCTCCCAAGTGCTGGGATTAAAGGCATGCACCACCACCGCTGGGCTCATCTTTTGCTTTTTATTGATTAATATTTCTTTTTTTTTTTTAGGCTACCATCAAGAAACAATGAGTTTAAAACCATTCACCTACCCATTTCCAGAGACAAGGTTCCTTCATACAGGACCCAATGTGTATAAATTCAAAATCAGATACGGCGACAGTATCAGGTAATTTGAAAGGAAGATAGCTCATGCTAGCACAGGCAGTGCATTCCTCCAGGTCATCATGTCTTTGCCTGGCTCAGTCCAGGGGAGTGACTGCAGTAGCACCTGGTCAGGCTTTCCCAGGTCCTTAGTATTCATTATATTTGTTATTGATATACTTTCCTAAAGTAGGGACAGTATGCCTTTGAGAAGATATTTCTCAGAACTTTCTCAGCTTGGCCTTGTCTCAAAACCACCATGAATCAATCAATCAATTGTAAATAGGTCTGGAGAAATTATTTGTCACTTAAGAGCACTGACTTCTCTTCCACATTCGGGTTCTGTTTCCCAAACCTATGTGGTGACCTCTTCTGTAACTTTCGTTCCAGTGGGTCTGATGGCCTGCTAGCCTAGCCTCCACAGGTACCACGTGCATGTGGTTCACAGACATACATACAGGCAAAACGCCCGTATGCATAAGATAAAAATAGGGCCTGAAGAGATGACTCAGCAGCTGAGTAGGTATTACTCTCCCAAAGGACCAGAAAAAGATTTCCCGAACCCAGCCAGTGGTGGTACACGCCTTCAATCCCAGCACTCAGGAGGCAGACAGGGGGATCTCTGAGTTGGAGGCCAACCCGGTCTACAGAGTGAGTTCCAGGACAGGCACCAAAACTATACAGAGAAACCCTGTCTTGAAAAACAAAAACAACAACAACAACAAAAATTTTTCAAAGGACACTAAAGAGCCAAAACAATTATAAAAAATAGCCAAGTTGGGTTCGTATTTTCATACCTTACTTTTTTGTTGTTTGGCTTATGGTTTTGTTTTGAGACAGGTCTGGCTGTGTAGCCCTGGCCCCAAACCTGTGGTCCTCTTGTTTAGCCCCTGGACGCTGGAATCAAAAGTATACACCACCATATTCAGATTTTTATGTTTTTGTTTTTGTTTTTTTAAGACTTATTACCTGGGGACTGGAGAGATGGCTCAGTGGTTAAGAGCACTAGCTGCCTCTTCCACAGGACCCAGGTTCAATTCCTAGCACTCACATGGCAGCTCACAACTGTCTGAAACTCCAGTTTCAGGGGATCCAACACCCTCACAGAGACATACATGAAGGCAAAACACCAATGCACATAAAATAAATAAATGTTAAAAGAAAAAAAAAAGATTTGTTAGCCATGTGGTGGTGGTGCAGGCCTTTGATCCCAGCACTCAGGAGGCAGAGACAGGTGGATCTCTGTGAGTTTGAGGCCAGCCTGGGCTACAGAGTGAGTTCCAGGACAGCCAGTACTATTACATAGAAAAACCCTGTCTTGGGGGGGAAATAGATAATTTTTTTTAAAATTTTCTCTCAAAAGCCCAAAACTTATTATTGACAACAAATACTGCCAGTTGTTTCCTTGATTTGACGTGCTTGCTGTATTGACTTTTGAGGAAATGTTAACCTCACAGAGCTGAAGAACAGATGATTTGTTTATCACCTAATTATTCAAGTAAAACACTATTGCATGAAAAGAGCAGCTCATTCCGTTTACAACTTCAAGTGTCACACGTGTTCTTTTCCTCGGTGCTTCTGTTTTTCTATGTACTGTGTCAGGATTCTCTAGAGGAGCAGAACTCAGGGAATGAAGCTGTGTACAGATGCATACATACACATATATACATATATACATACACACACACACACACATATATACATATACATATATTTTTTTGAATGAAGGGAATTTATTAGACTGGCTTACAGGCTGTGGTCCAGCTAGTCCAACAATGGCTGTCTCCCAATGGAAGGCCCAAGAATCCAGTAGGTGTCAGTCCCTGAGGCTGGCTGTCTCGGCTGGTCTTCCATACATACCTGGCTCTTGAAGTGGACTCTAATGCCAGTGAAGGAATGGACTTGACAGCAAGAACGAGAGTGAGCAGGCAGAGAGAACAAGCGTCCTTCTTCCATGTCCTTTCTATAGGCGGCCAGCAGAAGGTGTGGCCCAGATTAAAGTGGGTCTTCCCACCTCAGAAGATCTGGGTTAAAAGTGGGTCTTCCCACCTCAGAAGATCTGGATTAAAAGTGGGTCTTCCCCTGCCAGGCGGTGGTGGCACACGCCTTTAATCCCAGGACTTGGGAGGCAGGGCCAGGCGGATCTCTGTGAGTTCAAGGCCAGCCTGGGCTACAGAGTAAGTTCCAGGAAAGGCACAAAGCTACACAGAGAAACCCTGTCTCAAAAAAAACAAAAAAAGGGGCTGGAGAGATGGCTCAGAGGTTAAGAGCACTGACTGCTCTTCCAGAGGTCCTGAGTTCAATTCCCAGCACCCACATGGTGGCTCACAACCATCTATAATGAGATCTGCACCCTCTTCTGTATACATAATAAATAAATAAATCTTTTTAAAAAAAAGTGGGTCTTCCCACCTCAAATGATTTAATTAAGAAAATTCCTCACAGTTGTACCCACTCACTTGGGTTTTGATTATTTCCACATAGTCAAGCTAACAGCTCAGAATAGCCATCACACATACCTTAAAAGAAACAATATGGGATGGGAGACTAGAGAGATGGCACAGTGGATAAGAGCATTGGCTGCTCTTCCATAGCACCAGCACCCATAATCAACTGTAACTTAAATCTACGGAGATACTATGCCCTCTTCCCATAGGTGGGTACTTCACACATGTGATGCATAGAATATATGTAGGCAAAACACCCATACACATAAAATAAAAAATAGGGAGTAAATGTAAGTTAAAAAAATTTTAAGATACAATGAAGCCCATTTTGATGGTATATTTCTTAAATCTCAGCACTTAGGAGGCAGAAACAGGTGGATCTCTGTGAGTTTGAGGCCAGCCTGGTCTACTGAGTGAGTTTGTGGATAGCCAAAGCCATACAATGGGACCCTGTCTTAAGGAAAAAGAAAGAATATCTCCCGAATCTCATAAAAATTTATGTTTCTATTTATCAGTAAAAAAAAATTTTTTTGAGACAGGGTTTCTTGAAGCTCAGGCCAACTTCATTCACTGTGTAGCTGAGTCTAGTCTTAAACTCCTGATCCATCTGCCTCCACCTCTCAGGTTCTGGGATTACAGGCATGTGCCACCATGCTTGGCAGTTCAAATAAATTTAAATAGTGGGCTTAAAGTGTGGCTCAGTGGTAGATATTTGCACTGGTTATCCAAAGCCCTAGGTCTAATGCTCTGAGCCCCTCCAATTCAGCACTTTTAAAAATGCTCTGGAGCATTAGTAACCTTTGCATCAGGACTATAAGGTCTTGGAAGTTTAACAGAGAAGACTGGGGTGGGAAACAGCTACTGCTCAAACTACACCGTGTAAGGCGAGCGCTGGGTCAGCCAGACTGTAACGTATCTGGTTTCTTTAGTGCCACAGAGCAGATGCTGGACACGGCTGACTGTCTTATGGTACCTATCTGTTTACCTTCTAGAGGAGAAGAAGTAGAGGACAAGGAAGTCATCATCCAGGAGCTGGAGGTAGGAAAAAAATCAGACAACTTCTGAAGAAATTATTTACTCCTCAAACCAAGGAAGAATCCATACCAGACTTCTATTATTTCCCTCAATCTGAGTCACAAACGCCACCTGGTAAATTGGTATCTCAGTGCAAAGAAGCCACTTTTCCCAGGAAATGTTAAAGCCTGTATCCTTTCTCAAGTCTCACTAAGGTATGAGCGCCTTTGAGACTGGTTGTTGTTTGTTTCCACGAGGGTTCCCAGACAGGGCAGCTCTGTTGTGGCAGTTGGCACTGAGCAGCTTCCGGAGGACTGCTGCTGCCTTCCAAGGCTCTGCGAATGCCACGATCCCAACCACCGCCTGGTGTCTGACGTTCAGGAAACTGGGCAGTAAATACACTGACAAGTGGCTGTGTCTTCACTCTAATTGGAAGCATTTGCCATTGCTTTGTTCCAAGTTCATGTTCATTCCTTTTCTGCACAGCTCTGCTTGTTAGAGATTTCCAGAAAGAAGACTGAGCAGGGATACAGCTTTGTAAACTGGTCAAAGTATTGGGCCAGCAGTTGTAGTTCTGGGGACCTGTTCCTGCGTCCCAGTCTGTCCCTTCACCTGTCAAATGAGGTTAACTTGTTTCCAGGATTATGGTACGGATTTCAAATAGATGTGTCCAATACCTGCCACACATCCAGGCTAGAAAACATTTGCATACATTTATGTGCATATTAAAGTTTGAAAGCTGCTTTTTTGTTTGTTTTGGTTTTGGTTTATTTTTGGACACAGAGTCTCGGTATATATTACTGCCTGGCCTGGAACTTGTGTAGACCAAGCTGGCTTTGAACTTTCAGAGAGTTTTCTGCCTCTGCCTCTGCCTCTGCCTCTGCCTCTGCCTCCCAACTACTGGGATTTCAAGCATGAGCTTCCACTGTTGGTCCTTGCCATGAATTTGTGGGTGAGTGCATGTGTGTTTTATTTTTTGCAGCAAGGTCTCATATATCCCAGGCTAGCCTGTGTATCTGAGGATATCCTTGAACTCCTGGTCCTCCTGCCTGTGTATATCACCCTGGGTATGTTGTAGGTATATATCTCTACACCTGGTTTATACAAAGCTAGAGATTGAACCTAGGACTTCATGTATACTAAGTAATGACTCTGCCATCTATGTTGCATCCCCAACTCTTTTTACATTTTTATTTATTTAATTTATGTATATGGGTACTTTGCCTGTGTGTTTATCTGTTTACCACGTGTGTGTTAGGTGTCTGAAGGGACTAAAAGAGGGCGTGGGATCCATTGAGACTAGAATTACAGATGGTTGTGAGTCACCATACAGGTGTTGGGAATTGAACCCTGTTCCCCTGGAAGAACCTCTGAACCATCTCTCCAGCCCACTCTCTTGGTTTTTGAGACAGGATCTTATTTGATAGTAGCTTACTAGACTGGTACTGTCTGGTACTGTCATGAAGCCCAGAAATAACCTGGAACTAATGGCAATTCTCCTGCTTCAGCTTCCCAAGTGCTGGAGTTAAAAGTATGCACTATTATGCCCAGCTGCAAAGTTTTTTTTGTTTTTGTTTTTGTTTTCTTTTTGTTTTCAGTACAGGGTTTCTCTGTGTAAAAGTCCTAACTATCTTGGAACTGGCTCTGTAGCTCAGGCTGGCATCGAATGCACAGAATTTCACCTGCCCATGCCTCCCGAGTGCTGGGATTGAATGTGTGCACCACCACTGCCAACGAAAAGCATTTTTTTAAAAAAATGTTGAGAAAAGATCTCACTATGAAGCCTAGGTTGGCCCTGAATTCATAATCCTCCTCCTGCCTTGGCCTCCCAACTGCTGTGATTATATGCCACCATATCTAGCAGCAAAATAATTTTTATATGTTTTCTTTTATTTTTTCAAATTTTATTTATTTATTTTATGTGTGTGAATGTTTTGCCTGCATGCATGTCTGTGTAACACCCATGTGCTCAGTGCTTGCAGAGGCAGAAGAGGGTGTTGGATCCCTTAGAACTAGAGTTACAGATTGTGAACAGCTATGTGAGTGCTGGAAATCAAACCAGGGTCCTCTAGAGCAGCCCATGCTCTTTGCCACTGAGCCATCTCTCCAGCCCTACATGTTCTTTCACTCCTTATTAGTTTTAGGGACAAATATTATCATTCTCTTTTATTCCTTTAGAAAATATTAACTGGAGCTGGGCAGTGGTGGCACACACCTTTAATCTTAGTACTCAGGAAGCAGAGGCAGGCGGATTTCTATGAATTTGAGGCCAGCCTGGGCTACAGAGTGAGTTCCAGGAAAGGTGCCAAAGCTACACAGAGAAACCCTGTCTCAGAAAGAAAGGAAGGAAGGGAGGGAG